TCAAATATGGAGGTGAGCAGGCCATCAGGGAAGTCCTGGAAAACAATGCGCCTGTTCCACCCGAAACCTATGTCGGGGCTGAGCTCGATGGCTCCCACGTCGATTGAGAAAATCCTTTCGTCAATATCGACGAGCTTGCCCTGGCCCGGTGGCTTAGGGAACTGGCGGCGGAAGTCGGCCCACTCCGCATCTGTCCACTCACCCGACGGCCTATCGCCGTGGAAGTACCACCATGCCTCACGCTGCGTCATCGGGCGGTGTGGATTCTCACGGTCTGGCATCCTGTGATAGCCAGCACTGCCTGAGCTTCCTCGAAAGCGCGGTGGCTCCGGCGGCTCGGGAGGGCGTCTCCCGAGGTTGCCCCTGGGTCCCGGTGGATCCCAGTCTCCTGTGCCTGCATCACCGTGGTAATCCCTCCTGTCGTCTTTAAGCCACACCATGTCCAACATCACTAGCATATAGCTAGTGGCAGATGCATGCGTCGTTATGGCGTATGTCTCCATCTCTTCGTGCTGTGCGAAGAGCTCATCAGCGGTCCACCTGCCCCTGACACGCTGCAACCAGGCATGGTGGTCGAAACCCCATGTGAAAACATCAATGATGATGTCCGGGTTCGTTGTATCCCCCGCATAGTGTGGCTGCAGCTTCAAATCCGGATTATACACGGATGCAGGCAACGGCGTGTCCAGCTCGGGGCCGTGCGGCCCAGCACCTGGCATTATAACCAGGGGTCGCCCATGCGGGTCTCGCTTCACTCTCGCATCGAAGGCGGCCAAGTCGCGGTGGCCTTGGGCGATAGTCTTCGGGTGCACTGTGGCACGAGCAGCGGGAATCCCCGGGTTATACCCGGGTGGCGGCCCCTTTGGCGCTGTCGCCGACACGTAGCCGGGCGGCGCCTTCGGCTGGGGCACAGGATCGGGGGCGGCATTATAGCCGCCCGAGGGTGCTTTCGCCGTGGCACTGTGGCCAGGCCGCCGGCGCTGCAGGTGCCTTCGGTGCAGCCTTCGCCGTGGGAGGCGCCTTCTTAGGCAGTTGCCCCTCTGCTGCGGCCATCGCGGTGGGCTCCGTGTCTCCTACGGACGTGCCTACCATACAATGATTAGGGAACGCTACACTTATACGTCGCTATAGTGTTGTTGCGATTCTCAGCTGACGTTGTGAAGCTGTGACCGTGGCCTACGCCTACAGTGCTGTGACCATGGCCTGCATCTACAGTACTGTGACTGCGACTTGTTGCCGCTGCATCCTCTGTCGCTGCTGCATCTCCGGGGGATCCGCTCACAGGTCCTGAGTGAGCTAACGTGGCAGCGGCGGCAGACCTAAACATAGGAACTGGCGGCGAGGGAATCTGGAAACCCTTTATGAGGCGGGGTTGCTTAACCTGAATCAAGCCTTCTGTTATGTTTATGCACAACAGCCCTGAGTCATGTGTCCGACACAACTTGATCTTGATGACTGTGTCCTCCGAAGGAAGCCGAACACCACACACGCCAAACCGTAGATCTTTGGTTATACCAAGCTGGGCCTGCGCATAAAGGGACAAGAGGAGAGGGGCGGTACCCTTAATCTCATGCGAATCAAGGACGCCTGGAACTCTCAAGTCCTGCTCCAATCCCATTATAGAGAAAGGTATGGTCCTGCTACCCAAAGTCTCGGTAGCGCCGCTAAGACCCTTGAAGGTACGATTCCCTTCAGGCTTAAACCTCGTGCTGTAACCGAAGTTCGCAAGTTTCCCTGCCGCGTTTGCTATCCAATCGCTACCGTGAACAGTCGAGTTACATCCCTCATCTAACACGGCGTATACATGCTCGTCCTCGTAGATGTTTACTACGGGCAAATCAACCAAAGCCGGATGGATATCTGTGACCCCCTCGGTAAAAGCCACGAAGGCGTGCCTCGTCGCGGAGGCCCTCGAAGAGCGCGACCTCGCCGACGCCACTTCCCAACTGTTGTTGGTCGATGGCGCTGAGTGGTCATCTAAGGCCTCTTGCAGGTATGCGAGAAGGTCACCGCGAGATATCACGGGCTCGGTTACAAAGTGACCCTCTACGGTCTCTTGAAACTGGGCAATAGCCGGAACTACTACCTCTACGGGGAGGCTATCCCCCGTGCTGCCGACTATGCTGCGCAGGAGATCGAAGTCCAGGGTGTTGGACTCCCGCAGCACTGTGGCTGCGTCATCCCTAGCCTTTCGCTCGGTCTGCGGCTGCTCATCTAGAAGCATCCCACAAAGCTTGCACTTAATGCGGGAAGTCTTCCTGCTACTACCCGACCTCTCTGTGGAGGTGTGTGGGCATGTGGCCTGGTCTATGACAGGCTTCTCTTTCTTCGTCTTTGTAACTGTGCCGCATTTCTTGCAAGTCCGCATGTCTATGTATGCGTTGCTTCCCGACTTATTGAACTCCTTGCACCCTCCCCGGCATTTCCGGGGGCCTTCGCTGGACGAAGCAGCTGAGGCGGCGAGGCGAACCTCGGGCTGAAAGGGTTCAGGCGGGGGCTCCTGACTGAGAGGAACATCTCTTCTTGTAATACTGATGGGGGTATCATCACGCACATCAAAGTACTCTGTGGTCCAATTCAGGAAGTCAGCCAACCCTATGGATGGGCACTTCTGCGTGCGTCCCAAAAGGATATACCCGGGGTATGTGTAGAGAACACGCTCATACGTCAACCCCTTATGCTGGCCGAAAGAGAAAACGCGATCAGAACCCGGAGGGGGGCTATCACGCATGATCCCTGCGGCGGCTGTGCGCCGAAGCTGCGGTGAGAAGAGGGTTTCACTGCCGCGGCCTTTACCGGTATTGGTCTTCGAGGGAGTCAGCTCAAGGTTGGCTGGGTAACCCTCGAGCCTACCAGCGCTCGCATTCGACAGATGGACACACTCTGTGTCATCGTCCTCCACTGCGGCGAAGTACGCCTGAGGCTTCGGCGCCGCCGACTTTGCGGCTGCATTGGCAGTTCCCCCAGACTGTGCTGGGGTTGCAGTTCCCTTGGGGCCATTGCCCTTACCGCTAAACTTGCAGGCAGCATCTCCGGCCCAACGGCCAATCACACCGCACTTCAAGCACCTACTCTTGGCCTTAAGCTCTGCAAGCTTAGCCTTGCGGTCAGCAATAGTCAGGTTACTACGCACGACCTTCCCGCCGGATTTCCCGGTGGGCTTGCCCTTGTTCTTCCCCTTTCCTTTTCCTTTTGCCTGGGCAAATGCGGTCTGTGCCGCGTATGCAAGCTGAACTGACTCGGCGTAGGAATCGTCCAAGTCATCAACCTCAGCTTCGTATGCCACCGCCGTATAGGCATTGAGTTGCAATGCTAGATCCTCATCATCGATCCATTCATCCGCATCACCTCCCCCAGACGCTGTGGCCTGGTACGCTTCATCACCGTAGCCGTCACCGTAGCCTTCCGCGGATTCGTGCTGTTCCTGGTGATCATACTCTACGGCACTGCCGTCATATCCCATGTAACCGAACTTAGGATATTGGGGCTTAGCGTCAAAACGTCTCCAGGTCCTACCTGGGCCACTAGGGTCCTTCTGGGTCAGAAGACGTTCCTTCATATGCACCACTGAGTGGTGCTGAACAAGGACGCATGCGTACTCATCCACACTGTGCATGCGGGCAGCGGTCTTGACCATTAGCTGTTCAGACCTATCCAATCCCGAAAGCTCAACAAGGAGGTCAGCTCTCATTGTCTCGGAAAGACGGATATCAGGGTCCAGCTCTCGCAAGGTCGACCACCACCTCTTTCGGCGGGCTATGTAAGACAACATAGGCTCGCCAGGCTGTTTTGCAAGTGGGCCCGTCAGGAGCTGTCCCTGACGGAAAAGTTCGGACGCCTCTTCGGATTGAAGAGGAAAGGCTTGTCTCCTGATTTCCTCTATCAGGTAGTCAATGCCGTCATGTCGGAGCAAACGTTCCAAACCGACGTCGCGTGCAATGCAGAAGGCATCCCCTCGGAGACCTTCCAAAATCTTGCTGACGCACTCGCTCATGTCGAGCGATTCGTCTTTGACGTCTTGCAACGTGTACACCGCCGGATCTGTGTCCGGCTCTTGCTCATCGTCGCCCGTCACCTGACTGGGGTGTGACGGTAACGACTCCGCATCCTCATCTTCTGCCTCGGACACGGGCTTAGTCCGCCTTGCACTGGACGGACTAGCGGGTATGCCGCTGCTCGCATCACCCTCGGTGGGATGTGCACTGGTCCCTTGACTGGCCCTGCCGCGCCACTTTCTTGGTGACTCGCTTTTGGACTTTGCCGATTCTGCAAAACGCAAGTCCTTCAAAGCTTCACGCCGCTGCTTTTCCTTATGCTGCAGCACACGGATCTGTGTCCGGAAGCACCAATCGTGGAACCCAGCAGCTGACCCGTCGTATATGTACGAGCCGCTTTTGGTTTCGGCAGGGCTCAGGTTCTGTGACCAGAGATTGGGCTGGTAACGCAATCCTGCCACGCTCATGGCTTCGAGGATAGAAGGGGCCTTTGCGCCGCGACTATCACTACTCTACCCAACGGACACCGGACCTAAGGCTCAACGGGGGTGAAACACTAGTGGTTGTCCTCACAGCTCCGCTACCAGTTTGAAGCAGGAACTGGATTAGTGAGTGTCCAACCACACAACGAGCGCACTTTTTGGTCTGAGCCCAAGACGTCTGTCGTACAGGGTGCGTTCAGAATAGAACATGAAAAACTACGCTCGCATGAGGACAAGTCAACACGGCCCTTCAAGACAGGGAAATTTCACAATAGTATAGGTATTTCCTTAGGTCAAATATAGAATCCTGTTATAGATCCCTTTAAGGAGCCTTTTAAAGGAACTCCCACAATAGTATATATAGGTAAGTCTTTAAGCCCCTCTAGCACTCAGATGTGGCTTCTACTGTTTGACAGGATCGGCCCCCAGTCTGCAGCTTCGAAACGAGGGCTGCGAGGAACCGCTTTTCGAAAATCCGCCGTCCGACAGAACCCCGGCAAGCGGAAGCAGGAAATCATGCCGCCTTGGGGTAGAGGATCACCAAATCCTCGCGGAACTCGTCGTCCGTGATATTCAGCAGGGTAAGGCCATCGAATCCTGCACTTGAGAAGCATGTGTACACGTTCAAGTGTCGCTTTCTCTTGGTTTCTTCTGATGGATCTGAAGAGTAAGCATTGTGAAACCACGGCTGCCCGGCACGGGCCGGGTGTACAGTTGTTGTAGGGTTGACGATTTAGGGCTGATGATGGTCCTGGTGATGGTGATGATGAACTGCGTTGTTCTCATGTCGATTATTGTCTCTGTCATGTCGTGCCTATCATTGTCTTCGTTGTTTGTCTTGCCGTTAAGTAACTGGTTGGGTTGCTACTGCATGTTGTTGGCTTTACTGTGTATCAGATATTCTGGCAAAATACCATAACCCATTGTTTAGATTTGTGTACAACCTCTATGTGTGTATGTACATACATATGTATGATTTTGTGTACCAGAATTTATACTAGCGTATGCTACCCTGATCTAATATTTACTCATATTTACTTCTAGCTACTCGTTAGTACCGATATATACTCGTATGTGCTAATACGCTCCTGCGTGTATGTATGTATATATTATGCTATTTTGCAGTTGATGTTAGAATAGGTTCGTAGATGCAGCTATATACTATCGGCTATACATTGTACATTGCTGCAGTTGTTATTCTTAGTATAACGCATTGTTGGCATTGATCACTATTGTCATGAGTCATTATGTTACTGTCACATATGAATTTTGCGAGTTATTGTTGCATATCTTATCGCGTGTTATTTTGGGTTTCCCTATCCTTCAATTCCCCTGTAGTGGTTAGTCTGATACCACAGTACTAGCTGCATTCTTCGACAGTACTGTCAGTGTGTATATGCCTACATAAGTACATTTAACATTCTGACATTCTGTTTATTCAAAAATTGTACATATACAGGCACATACACCGACACATACTGCATGCATACATACATAATAATTACACACATTATACACGTACATACACACAGATATTTATGTGTTCAAGCGTGGCCTGGCGACTGGAAGTCGATGTCCCGCTCTGCAGCTGTACCTCATGCCCCCCGAAGCCACAGCAGCTCTTCCAAAGAAGGACCGGCATCTAAGGATTCTAGAGGCGTGGGGGGGGAGGGGGGTGGACTGTAGCTTGTATCGGCAGCTGCTGTCAACAATCAGGAAATTCCGACACCCTGCGTCCAACAGCTCTACCAGATAATGAATCTTAGCTCCACCCTGATTTCCATGGCGTCGCACGAAGACGGATTTCGCTGGAAAGCCGAGCAAAGCTTCTCGCAGAGAGCGTGTCCTGACACACGGAAGCGCTTGAAGGCCCGAGGCTTCAGAACTTTAGGTCAAGGCTTGAGGTCTTCATGCAGCTTCTGGGATGCGAAGTTTAAGCTTGGTCTTAAGCTCGCAGTCTGAATTTGGCTCCAGGAGGACTAAGAGAGTTGGTAATTGGTGTACCAAGCACTATGATTGGCGACCTTACGAACTTCGGGATGGACTCATTGAGTTTCCGCGATGCATGAGACCCTAAACTAAACATCGTTTTTCTAGTATACCCACAGAATACTACCTAACATGTCTGTGATATTCCTAGCATACCTACAGAACACTACCTAACAGGTCTATGATATTCCTAGACTACCCATTGTACATGTCTGTGATATACTGTACTAACTAAATGCTGCAACATATCTGTGCTATACTTTACTATCCTGAATACCTGAGGTGCGGGCGTTTGCCGTTTTGAACTCCGCCGATATGGTGTCGAAGGATTGCTGCAGCCGCTCGGGCCTTGGTTGGCTAGGGCCGTGGCCGGTGCTTTCGAAACGAAAAGAGAGAGGGGGTTCTGCAAGGGCACTACGAGGGCTCTATAAGGGCTACCTTTTGGGCTAAATAACGAGGGTCTTACTAAGGCCTAACGGTCTCTAGAAGAGCTGTTGGGAGAGGGAGGAAGAGAGACTGAGATAGAGACAGGAACCCAGAGAGAGAAACGGAGAGAGAGAGGAGAGAGCGAGAGGTAGAGAGAGAGAGAGAGAGAGAGAGAGAAAGACAACCAGAGCGATGTACCCTAAACGCGATGTCAAGGAGCAACTGTGGCTACTCGTTTTTGGTAAGTGGACATTCACAACAGCCACGGGGTCCAGCACAAAACCTGATGCATGCCTGTCACGATTCACCAACTGCCCAGAAACAGCGAAAGCAAAGCAGACATGGCTGAGGCCACGCACGACCAACAGCAGGCTGCTCGGCCCACCAGGGTTCCATTTACAAACTGCACAGGAGTAATGTAGGGGCCTTAATAATTAGAACAGGGTTTTGGGGCTCATTATACTGTAATCATAAAAAGGAACCACCAGAATAGTAGAGGTAATTATTGAGGCCCCTATAGTAGCAGAGTCGAGAGCTTCGTGCAATCGCAGGTTCTGCAAGCGGCCGCTGAGTTTCAACCCCGGGCTCTGAAATTCGAACCCTCAAACTGTTCACTGTTAAACTGTTAAAGAGTTGAGCTCGGAGGCGATTGCACGAAAGTGTTTGCGAAGTATCGGTGCTGGATGCAAGCTCGTAAACCCCATGGCCCCATGCCCTTGCTGCACTTGTTTGAACCCAACACCTCAGCCCTGGTTCAAAACACGGGTTTTAGGTTTTGCGGGCCTTAAAGGTCAACCAGCCATTGAATGCCATTGGCTCTCGGTTGCAACCGGTTCAGCAGACACATTAAAACCAAAACCGACGGGCAATGCAGAGTGTGCCGGCTTTGAAGCACAAGGCAGGGCTGCAATGTGCAGGAATCGGCTTTCAGTAAGGGTTAAACAACTTGTCTGATGCAGGTGTATAGTTAAACCCTCTTCGGCTCATTGCTTGTTTGCTTGTTTGTTTGTGTTGTTCGCGTGCCTGTGTTTGCTTGTTTGTTTTTGTTGTGTGTGTTTGCGTGGGTGGGGCATATAGCCACCCTAATGTCTATTCGAGGAACTTCCAAGTTGCAGGGATCCCTACATGCTCCGCCTGCTTGCGCTCATATCAGCACCATTGTCAATATGTACAGTGCCGTCATCGTTCACATCGAAGCTTATAATGAGGAACTACGGGAATCTGATGTAACCGTTGCACCTGGTCCTGCGACCAGCCGAAACGGTTTGCCACCCGCGGGACGGTGAGAAGCCTGCAAGCGGTGTGAACATCGGATGCTCGGGGTCTGGGACTCAGCGTCAGGTTGTAGGTTACGCCGTGGCAAATGCTCTGTGTTAGACGGCACTGGGTGTGAGAGGCCGTCCCACTGCGTCTACCGTATCTGCACAAGAGGGCTGAATAGCTGGGAATACCAAACATTCCTTGATGCCTCCCACTACAGCTGTCGTAGAATAGAACCCCGAGACCCTATTCCACTTTTGGGGGCCCTGTATGTCTCTGCACTGACATTCCTGAACCGAGAAACGCCGAAGCCGAACTGCCCCATGTTGACCGCTTCGCTCACAGTTAGTGTTACAATGCTGCTACTCTTAGTTGGGCTTCAAGTCGGGGGGCTCCTAAGTCCGATTTGACGATGCTTTTTCACGTCTGTGCGCGCCGAGTCATGTGGCAAGGGTTGAGGCCTCGCGTATTCAACGAACTGCTGGCCGATGCCGTACACGCAGATCTTCTCGCGCTCACGCTGCAAGCCTTGGGCTCTTGCAAATTCGGGCTCCGGGCTGAAGAATTTACGGAGGTTTAGGGCTTATATCACTCGACTACTTGTGTCCTACCCCATGCTGTATGCTCCAAGCTGCGATAATTAGGAGACACGTCCATACCGTGTCCATGCCAGTCCATCTCTGCTGCTGAGCATACTCGCGGCGGCGACACATGGAACTAGCCAGCTTTGCAAGCCAGCGGCGACTGGCTTCCCCAAACCCAAAGACTGAACTCGAACCATGAAATGGAATACTCTTTGCGACGCCGAACCGCGAAAACTCGACTCAGGGGCCTTAATAGTGAGAACAGGGTTTGGCCTAGTAGAATTATTAAGGCCCCTACATTAAGACCTCTAAGCTTCCGGCTGGTATCCACACGAATGTCGAAGGTCTTGGGCTCGCAGAGTTGCGGCTCGATAGCTGTGGCGACCTTTGTAGCAAGTCCGGTTTAAGGGGCAGGGGGTAAAGGCTTTGCGGGAGTCGGGGGTTTAAGGGTTATAGAGCTTAGGGGGGGTTTAGGGTGCAAGATTCATGGCCTTCACGTAAATAAACGTCAGGCATAATTACACGCCAAGAGTTGCATGGCTCTTTTCTGCACAAGGTCCCTTGTAGTGGGAAGACTAAGTAAGCTCCAGCAAGAGCCTGGTCTCATGATGCGGAATCAACACGACCCACATATTCAACCCTTATAAAAAGACTGGTGAAACCTTTTTACTAATTATGAAGCCCTTCTAAAGCGGTACCCAGACCTTCAAAACTCAAACCCCCGGCCCGAACACCCTCCCGGGAATGCATACTATAGACTGTATACTCAGACCCCTGCATTGCCCCAGTCATTCTATGCACCTAAACCCTAAACCCCTAAAAACCCCTAAACCCCTAACCCCTCAACCCCCAACCCCTAAACCCCAGTAAGCCAGGGCCCGAGCACCCTCCTCGCACATGAGTCCGGCAGGGCAGAGGTCCGAGGCCCGCTGCCTCCCACGACCGCCTTAGAAGCGACTGGGAGCTAAGATGGATAGACGAAATCCTGCAAAAACTCTAAGTACAGTCTCGGATAGTAGGGTACAGTATAGTAGAGTATAGTATAAAGTATAGTAGAGTACCATAATTCCCATAGTTTGGCTAAGAAAAAGGGCCATGAAAGATTTTGTCCATCAGCAGTAGTATGTGGGTCTGAATTGCTGGTACAAGGCTTTGGTGGGGGTTTTAGCATCCTGTAGGGTCGCACATGCAAGCAATCGAGCTCACCTTTGGGGCCTCGGAGTTGCTGTGGCTCAGGGTATGAAGCTTAGCTCAGCTGCCGAAGACTCAGAAACGAAACCCGATCTGTTGCTCCCGAACAAGTTTCTATCTTCCTACAGGTCTCTATAGCGAATAGGCTCAGCTGGCTAGTAAGCGGCAGCGCGCATTGCTGCTTTGAAGCGAAGCTTCTCGATCTCTAAAACAGCATGACGGAGAGCAAAGGCCCTTGCTGCACTCGTAGCCGCACGGACACGGCAGAGGAAGGCGCATGCGACTGCGTGGACCTTGGCTGTAGCCACTTTCGATTTGAGAATACCAACTCCGCCTACGGACAAGTGAGGTCCGAACACACACCGCCTTCCAGACAAACTGTGCAGTTCCACTGCCCCGGCCAAGGGTTGAAGGAACCTGAGAATGGCTGCTTTCATGTTGCGCAGGCCATGCCAAGAATCAGAATTCTCGCAGCATCACCGTTCGGGACGGCCTGCAGGACATCCAGTTGGCTCGGTGTTGGCGGGGTATGGACCACACCTGAAGGAGTGCACTCAGGAGAGTCGCCGCATCACGAAATTTCCAAAGCAGCATTCCACGTCCAGAAGATGTGCGCCAGGCATGTAGCGCTCCGGGCAAACGATTCCTCAGCTTGCACAACAGAACTGCCGGGTCTAGTTAGTTCAAACCGGCACCGGAAGCACGGCTGGCTGATAGGCTCTTGGCCAGTGTGCCGTGGCGTAGGGCAGTACTTCCTTGGCAAATAGTCTGCGGCAGCCGAAAGACCCAAACATCTCTGCAGGAGTACTATCGTGGTTCAGTCATTCAAGTCTGAAGACAAGTCGTGACGCAAAAGATACTACTTAGTAACACAAAACCCTCAAGCCTTGAATCCTTAGCTCGTGCTGGCAACCTCCAGACGAACGAGAATTTCACAAACAATGCTGCATGAGCAGACGAAGAAAGCAATGCATCTCCAACAAGCATAGCAGTAACGACCTGCCGACTGCAATGGCAGCAAGCATCATCACAATGGTATCAATAGCAAGAATTCTCCGAATGCCCCTGATCTAGACACATGCAGTATTGTAAATACACATGCAAGCCGTCATATTCATATAACTGATGGTCAAGCAAGTCTAAAGAAGACATATGGTGTGCCAGCTGCAGCAGACTGCCAAGTGGTCATAGCAAAAGCACTCTTTGTACATCCAAGGACGGGTTTTATCGCCGTCGTCATTGCACCAATGCAGGACAGTACTCGCCCTAGGCTCCAATCACTCTAATCATCTCCGCCCAGACCAGCATCAACACATCATGGTCGTGGTAATCGCCATATTCTTTGTCGTCATCCCCTCATCAACCCAGTGCTTGTCATGATAGCCATGATGACTATCATCATGATCCCTGGCACTCTAGACCAAAATGCTGCTGCAAAAAACGTCTGTTCATCATCACAATGGCAACAACAACAGTTGCCAGCAGCTGAGGCGGTCACCCCAAAGGACACGCCCCGGCACCGTATGGTGAATCGCTCGCAGGAGGGCAGAAGAAGCCTCAAACAGGGCGCGGTGCGTAGGAACCGATGCGAATTTGCATGCAGAGAGCCGCTCAGTATGTGTATATGCATGTGTATATATATATATATATATACTTGCATATATCTGTACACATATACATATCATTTACAGTAAGTGTGTGCGTGTGTGTAATACCGATCTATCTATATATCTATATATCTATATATCTATATATCTATATATCTATATATCTATATATCTATATATCTATATATCTATATATCTATCTATCTATCTATCTCTCTCTCTATATATATATATATCGATATATATCGATATATATTTGTATATGCATGTGTGCGTGTGTGCGTGTGCATCCGCTGAGGGTCCATGGACCCGTCTGAAGAAATGCCTTGCTCACGGCCTCAATGTAGATCGTACTTAATGAAAGACACCCAGCATGTACTGTACTGTAACATAACGGTATAGTCCAAAACCTAACCTGGGGGCTTGCGGTTGAAGCTTACCTGGTCGGATTTACGGGTGCCGCGACATGCCCAGGATTCCTTCGCAGGCAGGGGGGGGCGGATTACTGGTATACGTGCTTCTCATTCACAGAATAGCTGAGAAGCCTCAATCGAGTTATGCCCCCAATTCTCAGAGGCTACGAGACCTGCAAGCCTATGCTACCCTTGCAAGCACACAAACCCCAGATCTCGATCTGTGAATCCCACAATGCAAAAATATCCAAAACCCGAAACGGATCAGGGTCTTTTTCGCCTTTCGCCATCTGCTGGCTCGACCTCTTGGGGCAGTTTTCGCTCTGCAAATCCGTGGGGCCCCAAAGCCCTGATATCGCGGCTTTGATAATTAGAAGAGGGTTTTGGGGCATATTATACCATAACAAGGAGCCCCCAAAATCGTCTAGTAGGTAATTGAGGCCCCTATATTACACCACGGCGCTGGACTTCAATAGTCGGAGCGCAAGCTCCCTTAAGCCGCCAGCTTCACAGGCGCGTAGCGCAGCTTTGTAGGTGCCCAAATCTGGGGTGACTTTGGCCAAGGGCATCGACTCGAACAGTTGCAGGGCAAACCTGGGTTGTGGTTTCAGGGCCAAGCAAGATTTAGGTATGAATCGGAATAAGACCTTTAAGATGATTCTGAATCGGAATAATTAAGAGCTTCAAGATACTTCTGAGATTTTAGGCGGAAATCAAAAGAATCGCAACGTGCAACCTGGTCACTGCCATTGCCTGCCTTGCTCACAGGAGCTGATAATTCCATTGTAGGTCGTGCTGTTTGGTGCGAGCCTCCTTTTCGGCATTGCAGCGAAGAGCGATAATGCCACTTGCCAGTGCCCACCCGCTTCACAGGAGCTAATCGCAGCGCTGTAGCTTATTACATTGGCCATGATCTTTGCTTCCGGCATAGAGTGCAGAACATGCACGGCCAGTGGCCACCGCTCCCCTCTTGCACATGCACTGATGGTTGCGTTGTATGCAATGGCATCTGGAGCGACCTTGGCCTGTGGTAAGGAATCGAAGAGATGAATTGCTGCGGGCCATTGGTGGCCTTTCTCGCAAGCACTGATCGCTGCACTATAGCTCACGACACTTGGGGTGACCGTGGCCGTGGACATACTACCTAGCAGGCGCAAGGCAACTTGCCACTGCCCGCTCTTCTCACAGGCACTGATGCTGGCACTGTACGTAACTATATTCGGCTGAAGTTTAGCTCTCGGCATGGCGCTCAGCAGCTGCAAGGCATGCTGCCACTGCACGCCCTTCTCACAGGCACTGATCAAGGCGTTGTAGAGGATGCGGTCTGGTGCGATGGATTGTGGCATACTGTGAAAGAGCTGCAAAGCAGCTTTCCACTGTCCAACTTTCTCGCACGCGCTGATGGTGGCACTGTACGTGATCAGATTTGGAGCAACCTTTGGTCGTGGCATGCAATGAAAGATGTCCAGTGCCAGCTGCCAGCGTCCCGCTTTTTCGCAAGCGCTGATTGTTGCATTGTAGCTGGCTGTGTTCCGCGCTATTTTCGCCTTGGGCATGGATGCGAAGAGCTCTAAGGCCCACTGCCACTGCCTGCCCTTCTCGCAGGCACTGATCGTCGCATTATAGCTGAGGACGTGGAGCGTTAGCTGGTGCCTTGAGATGGATTGAAAGACTTCCACGGCTTTCTGCCACCACTTGGCTTCAGCACATGCTGCAATCGTGGTGACAAAGTGCGTTGGGCTCAGCTTCATGTTCTCTTCCTGAACAAGATCCAAGATGTGACATGCCAGATCGGCGCGTTTCTGAAACTTGAGTTCCTGTAGAATCTGGACTAAAGCACCTGGGCTTCGGCAATAGGCTTGCAACTGCGGGGCGAGGGCTTGTCGCACCTGGTCCCTTTTCGGGAGCTTCTGAAGCTGCAGCAAGCGTTGCATCCATGCAGTGATTTTTCCAGTAGCTCTAGGACTCGTGTTTGCATGTCGGCCCTCCCTGGGATCCTTCTTCCCACTATCTCGTTTTCAATAGGTTCAATAGGTATGCAAGTCAGAACTCGGCGCACATCTCATGCATGAGCCATAGAACTTCTGGTCGAGATGCAGACCCCGGTTCTTGCTGAAGGTGAACGTGCCACAGTGCCAAATCACCGATGCACAGATTTCCCGACGGAGTAAGTCGCATAAGCACCGAATAGGCACATGAGAGACGTGCTGACAAGAGCAATTATCACACCAACTGACACCATGGCAATGGAGCTAGTGACGATGAAAACAGCAACGACGATGCACTGAAAAACTGCATCGACAGCAGGACAAGTCTTGCACAGAGTAGCATCAGCGGCCGTAACACAGGAACAGGAACCGGACAACTCATAATTAATCAATACTGACACAAAATCAAAGCTTCACTTCTTCGCAGGCCAAACCCTAAACCCCAGGAGCCGCAAGATCCGAGAACGATAGCAAACGAGGGTCTCGAGGGAACCACATGTTTCAAGGTACTGGTAGTGACCGAAAACCCTGTATACTCCTTATACATACACCTATGAAAGAGATACTTAAAAGGACGTGGATTAACTCGTCTACTATACTAATACTATAACCTGGCAGAAAGAGCCCACTAACACAAAGACTCCGGGCCTTGAAAGCAGGGCTGAGGCGTGGAGTAGTTCGAAGGCTTGGGATTGGGAGCTTGGGCGCCCTCGAAGCAGTGAAGGCCAGGCGGACCTAAGTCTTTCATGTCTTGTGTGAAGGTGCTTTTGTTTCAGGGGGAAAGGGCGGATAGCTTTGGGTTTTGGGATAATGCTGTTTCTCTCGGAGGCTGGGGGAGCGGTTACGTGGTTTGGGTCTGGGGGGTTCTAGGCGGTTCGATACACGAAGAAAGGCAAGGTCAGATGATCCTTCGGGGTGCAGGCTTGGGGCTGTGTTCATCGGGCTTGCAGTCTTAAAGTAAAAGCCAGAAAGTTGGAGTATGATTATCCTAAACCCTGTATGGTAAATTATAAGGTATCCTACCCTCAAACCATATTCCAACTTTCTGGAGTTCCCTTTATAAGCACCGTTTCATGCGAGTGTGGTCACGGAGCCCGTGAAAAAGTGATTGGGGGTTGGCAGGCACATCTGCTTTGGGGCTTTAGGGACTCAGGTGCGCGACTAAAGTAAGGTGTGTGAATCAATTCTTGGGGCTCCCGTAATGAGGGCCATAAGTGTTGAAGTTCTATGGGGGTTTATATTGCGAAGAGGAACGCAGCTTTCTTAATAGGACAATACCAGTCACTGGTTCTAACAGCCCTACTGGAGCGGACCAGAATAGGGAGCACTGCAACTTGCAAGTTTACGGTTAAGGTTGCAGTGGCGTTATTGACCAATATGATATCATAAGACTTCCAGCGCACACACACACACACAGCAACACACAAAGCAATCTGTATACGCAACAAGTTGGGTCTTCAGTACTTCCTAGCATCCCCGAGCAGAAACCAGAATTCGAGCTCACCAATACTCCCGGGGCAGACCCTAAACTCCAGATCTGAACCCTGAATCGCAACACCAAACCATGCTTAAGCAGAAATCCTCAGCTTTTTCCCTGAGACTGAACACCCAAATCCCTAAACCCCCAAAAGCCTAAAACAGAGATTCCTAAACCCCAAACTCCAAACCCTCAGCTCTCAAAAAGCAACACCCGGGACCACGGCAGGGCTTCGGCTTGCGACGGTCCAGGTACAGCCTATTGTCAGAGTCTGGAAGTTGGAGTTCCGGGTTTCGGTCTTCGCTGCCCCAGTCTCCGCTACAGCGAAAGTGAGGGAGCTGAAGGCAACTGAACAATCACCGGAACGGGCATTACTAGCCGTCACTGGCCCGAACTTCGAGCTTTGCTTCATGGTGCAGGTTTTCAGGGTGGTATCCCTAGAAGGGCAGGGTTCTCCGAAGCTTGAGTTTATTTCGATCCTTAAAACTACCATGAACATCTGATTTATGAATGCAGGAAGATCCATGCAGTATTGCAGCTTTCTGAGATCAAGGCGTGCTGCGTGAGAGACGCGTTGCAACGCCCTCTTCACCTTTGCACGTGACTTGCTCCGTTGACACATACCGCCTTGCTAGGGGATGAGACGCGCATGATGAATGCTCCTTGCGAACATCGGCATCGCGCTCACTGTCAGTGTCAGAGTCCGACAGTACGCCTTTATGACCACTCAGCAGCTTCGTGCAAAAACATCCTTCGAACCCTCCAACCCTGAGCGAACTAAGCTTCCCACAGTAGAAACCGGCAGGGCACCGTTTGTAAGGCACCACCAATCCTGGCATGTGTTGGGCACAACAAGGTAAGTATGCCAGGATCCTAAGGATTCCCTGTTGCCCTACTCGGGATGGGCTAGTACGACTTGGAGGTATACTCATGACGGCAGTATGCAGCACAACTTCTATTTCAACTCCACCCGATTCAGCTAAGTCTCCTGACATTGTCATGTGTCATCATGGCCTGCGTATACGCACTGTAGGCAGTATGTGTGGGAGCGTGTGATGATGGCAAGACCAGTGTAAAAAATCACTTGGGCACAAAGAGCGTTTGCCCCCTACTGCCAGGAAACCGAGACACCCTGATGAAAGTCCCACCTGGCTCGTCGCAGACCCATCCTCTCCGACAGCCAATGGGCTGGAACATCCGCGAGCGAGGGCCTGGGAAATAGAGGTGCAGAGTGGGGCTCGGGATTGGGGTTTCCTAAACCCCAAAACCCCAAATCTCGGGATTGGGGTTTCGTGCAACCCTGGACCGAGGCAAAGGCACCAGAAGCCGATAGGGCACAGCTGGCACTGAACCTTCCGGCGTGGCCGCGCAGGCTTTGTCAGAAGCTGTGGGTTGGTGGCTTCTTGTTGCAACCCCGGCCTGACGCCTGTACGGCATGAAGCTGCCTGACAGAGGCAGCACGAGTGTCGGGAGAAAAAGGCTAATGGCTACCGTTCATGCCCTGGAACGAGAGGGTACATCTAAGATCCTAGAGAAAGCGATCTTGCAAAGGGTGTGAGTTTCCATGCTTGCAATGCAGAGAATTACCGCACTCAACTTCGAAGCATTTTCGGTGCAGCAGGTGCACCATGTCGGGGATGATTGGTCCTTCCTTTTTTGCCCCGAGCGCCTGGTGGACATGGGGTCGGTACACCTCGGTGATGAATCACAGGCGTCAATCGCCGACCTTCCTGGATCACGATCAGCTGAGGTGGCTGCTCATCCCGGCACTCTCACAGAAGTGTCCAGCGGGGCATGGCAACAGCCGGAATGTGTACCTTTGGGGAGAGTGTCAGAGGGGGCTGTGGGTTCCCGGCGTGCTTGTGTGTGTCACTGGCTCTGCAGCCCAGCATGCAACAAGAAGACACTTTCTTGCAACACTTCTTCCTGCGCGCATGGTGCACACATTGCTCAGGGCAGAACTCATTGAAGGCCCTGTGCTGGCAGTAGTGGCCAATGGGGCACTCACCTGAGGACATGTACTGTGTAACTGGGTCATACACTCCCTGCAACATTCGTTAGGAAACCTATACCAATACAACAATTGTATGACTATACCATCATCACAAGAAAATGGAAACATTATCAGCAAAAGTCATGCTTGTAACAACAATGGGACTGCCAGCCTATGGATCGAGGGACCGTGATTTTTACACGGCCGCGAACTGAGCTGATTCAATGCTGGCTTGCGTCCGCCGCACAACGTTGCTACAATATGGTGATCCACTGCTTACTTATGCCATAAATCACATAAACCATCGTCTCACACATGCTTCTGAAATCCCCGACGTCCCGGGAAGCCTTCTGGAAGATCTGGATTTGAAAAGACGTGTATCAAACCCAGAAGTCAGCCCACTTCTGCTCTGGATGGGCCCCGGCCCAAGAATCGGAAAGACAAGCTTGTGCGCGACCTGCGCTCTACGACCGTCTCTAGGGACATCGCATGACGACCGATGATACTGATACTGGAACTGGGAGGTAGGCAACTGCTAGAGATCAGAGCAACGCTGAGACCTGTTTGGTCATGGAGATGGTCTCTATGACTGTGACCCCTCTCCTTATGATCTACGATAGACCTAATTTAACAACAACTTCGTGGATCATGGACTTCGCTGCCGCAAGCCCTAAATCCTGTTCAGGTCCTGGCTCCTCTCTTCGGGGTGCCACCTACTACGACTATGACTGCGAAAACGGACCCCGACCACCACCACCACCACCACCACCACCACCACCACCACCACCACCACCACCACCACCACGACCTCCACGACCACGATGACGACCTTGACGACGAAGACGACATCCACGACCACAACGACTACTCCTACTCCTACCGCGACTGCTGTTGCTACAGCTGCTCCTACTGCTAGTACTACTGCTACTACAGCCTAGCTTCTCGTTCTCGGTCGTAATTATCAACATCGAATAACCATGCTTTCACTTAAGTTAAGCATGACATGTGCGGAATGCCCGCTGTAAGGCTCCAGCCAGTCACGGTTGTTCAAGGTCACGCGTAGTGTTGCATAACCCAGTGCCTGACAGAAGGTAGGGGAGTGCTTCAGCTACAAGTACTCAGCCCAAGTGTAGTTAATATCCATCGAATCAACTTCCTTGAACTAATTCTGGCCATGTCGCAAACTATGCCAATTCACGGCATGAGGCTCAGCGAATATCACAATGGCATAGGAATCAAAGTTCTAAATACTAGACCATTGGAGCAGTCAGCCTTGCTGGATCTTGCTGCCAGCATGTTCGGAACCTGGCATTGGTTTGCGAGCGGTTTGGGGCTTGCAGTATGTGTGTGTATATATATATATATACATACATACATATTTATATATATATATATATACATATACATATACATACATATATATATATATACATATACATATACACATATGTATCTACATATAGACATATACTTATATACATATATAAATATACATATTACATATATAAATATACATATATATATACAATATATATATATATATATATATATATATATTGTTGAAATGTAGGGATTCTCGACACATGCACAATGCAGCGACGAAGGACTTGAACGCACCAGTACACAAGCAGGAAGCATGCAGCTCGAAGGGGATTCCAACTAAAGCAGCCCTGCCTCGCACATGATCTGTGTGGAAGAAACGAAGACCACAGAAGGAGAGCCTCGTGCATCTGATGATACTAATACTAATACTATTATTAATATTAGTACTAATAGTAATTAATTTTTTTTTTTTGAACCCTCTTTTCTCCCTGTCCCAAGGGTTAGCGAGAACACCAGGTTTGCGGAGGGAATGTGTTGGGAGGCCACAGAAGCAGATGGGGATTCACCACCAACACCTCAAAAAACATACCCATACTGGCAATAGCTCTTAGGGCCTCCCACAACTTTGTTACAGTGCCACATTACCATCAATTGACTAATTCCACTCCTCGAAAACCAGAGAGTACTAAAATTATCACCACATTCACAACTACCCAGTGGCACTGCCCAAGCATAGACTCCAGGACTGCATCTCGGAAAACGACCCAGGTAGGAGAAACTCACACTAAACGACATACTCACACTAGCATAAAACACCGACCCCGAATCAGCAGTCCTTCGTCAATGCCCAAGCACATATCTGCGGAGCTGGCTCTACGCATACTTGCAGTCCCGCATGGAGGTCACTCAACACACGAATTATGCCATACGCCAGCCTATTTTCAATTGCATCTTCCCCAGTAACAAACTACCATAACCCCAGGTTACATACCAACCAGCTGGTCAGTTCAGGCAGCGAAATACCATCGCTACTCAAGCACAGGCAGTAAGTGCTTGTCACCAGGGAGGTTCAACTCACACATGCAAGGATAAGGCACTCAGGTCAACATCCACAGCGGACACGCAGTAATTAAGGTTTAGGGTTTAGGGTTCGAAAACTAGATCTTGTAAGACACTCTCAGCATCAGCCCCGGGCCGATCCATTCGAAGGAGCAGTTGAGACCAGTGGAGTTCAGGAAGCCATAGCCAAAGACCTTAGCATTATGTAGAATCAGGTAGAGTGCTGTACCGTAGACACACTCAGAGAGCTGAACGTCTTCAGGACCACAAGAACGTGACAGAACCAGCATCCCGGTCCCTTTGCTCCGTGTCCAATTTTGCCAAGGTGGAGGAACCGGGAGACAGACTGAGACAAAGCCACCACCATAGGTCATTCCGACCTGCGCTGCCACTCAAGAACCAAGCTCTGACGGCAGAATGAGCATGAAAGTGTCTGAGGTTTCATGTGTGAGTTGCAAAGGAGAGTTACGAAAAGTTCAGCAGCAGTTGGAGAACACTCTTCAAGGTCCATCGCTTAATGCCACGCGAGACCCCGCACTGAACCGCGCTTTGATGCGATCCGGGGAATGGGCTGCAGGGATTACTATGGGGATTGCACTAGGACAACACCAGAGAACCTTGCTGCGTTTTGCAGCTGGGGATATGCATACTGTAGCTACAGGCAAACATAAGTAAGGTTTGTGGACGTCAAGAATTTCACACCTGGCCAGTAGGCGAACATAGGCAGTGGCCATTAGGCCGTGGCCAGCCAAGATCAGTGCCCTGATATTCCCGTCTGAAGACAAACAAGCCTGGAACCTAAGCCCAACATAGGATCACATTTCTCGCGTGGTTTCCGCTTCCACTCTGCTTCACCACACTTAAGCAACAAAACACAATCCCCAACCTCACAAAAGTTAGCTACGCACCAGGCCCAGCCCTCAGCATCACTAAATAGTAGGATCCTTGTTTTAAGGACCCCCAAGATGTAAGGTACCCCTACTTGTCGGAAACTCCCACAGAAGCGCTACCCTTTCTGAGCGCTGAATCTCGGAACTCACAGGCCGGGGAATCCCTTCAGGACAGGCCCGATTTGGTACAGGAGCCCCTGCTTGAAAGTTGGGCCATCCAGGGGCTGTGAATTGAAAACCTGTCATTCTTGAAGCTTCAGAAGTGGGGAGTTTCCGAAAATTGGGACTACCTCTTTCTGGGGTCCTTATGAAAAGGATCCGACTAATGAGGGTACTTCATTAGGGTCCCCTATGTTCGGAAACCCCCAAGTGACTCTCACGGCATGAAGAAGGCAAAGACTGGGAAATCCAACTTGTCGAGCACACTGCGCTCCCAACGGCAGCCTTGCCCCAGAGGCAGCTTTGTCCTCTCGTGGATGGGCGCCTTCCTTGCAAACTTAGAGCCATCGGAAATGGTAATTTCGCCTTCGCCCCAACCAGGCGGGAGACCATCAGGACAGTTCTTGAAGCGTTCCCTTGGCTGCGAAAAGCATCCAAAGTGCCGAGCGCAAAGATAGACGATTTTCGGGCTACCCTAGGGAACCCGAAGACATGCATAAGCCTCAAAAATACTTTGCCGTGTCCTTCCTCGGGGTTGTGCGACGCATGTGCTGAATCTGCACGACTTTACAGTACAAAGCCTTTGGTACAACCATCTCTTATCGCAGCACGATTGTTATTAATCTGACGATGTAGTCAGCCTCTGGACAAGGATTTGAAAGCAACGACGTTACAACACAACACCATCCTAACTCCCTCAAGTTCCTACAGGCTCTCCTCTCAAACAGCTCTGGTTTGCAGCACAGGAGCTTCTGCGACGTACCAGTAGTCTCCGATGGAAGGTACATGCACAACAATGACCCTCAAGAACCTCAACCCCAAATTAACCCTAACTCGCAGTTGCATCAAAGGAACTTTTGTAACTTGAATTTGTCCGCCTGCGCATCGCTGAGCTCCGAGGAGCCAGCACTATATCTTGACACCCACTCCTCGGCGTGTGCAGCTCAGAAACCTTAAACAGGCTAAGGTATTGAAGTTAAAATGGGCCGAGGGGGGGGGGGGGCATAGGGTCTAGCTTTTGGAGAGAATAGGAATCTTCAAGAAACGTAGTGTCAGTACCACTACATGGCAGTTTGAAGCATCTCCTCTTCTTCTGATCCATACAAACAACATTCACAGGCCAAATTCATGACATTTCTATGCAGCACGATGAAATTCACCAAAACATGTGCGAATAGCGCATTTCTGATTTCGGCACCGAGAGTCCGGACTAAAAATATTGGAGACAGTGCAGCAAATCACGGCGCCCTCGGCATGCTGGCGCTTCACCTCCCGAAGCCAATGGCAGCACCAGCCTTGCTCAAGGGATAGTCTGGATTTATCGAAAGATGAGTGCGGAAATTGAAGCATCAGTGAAACAGCACTAGACTGTTTCGGTTTGTTGCTGGGCAGGCGGCACTTGTATTTGTCGCCTTCTGTTGGAGCAAACTTTGTACTCCGCGACTCCACCACCGAATTCCACATGGGGTGCCGAGATCCTGGGCCTGAGCATTGACAATGCGGAAGAGATAAACGCCCAGCAAGATCCGATTTCGGTCAAAAACCCTGAAGCCCTCGATCCCTGGAACCCGAAACCCTTGCGTCGTTGGGATCCTTGAAGCCCCATAGCCCTAAACCCTAAACCCTAGCCCACCTGGCATGGGAACCTCATCGCGACCGCACTCGTCACTGGGATGCAACCAGGTCCCATCGTCGTTGGCAAATCCGAAGACCGGCTCGTCTCCAAACCAAACGGTGGCAGCACCTGGGTGGTTGTCAAAATTAGGGTCCCTGTTTGGGTACCCTTGCTATTCGGTGCCGTATTATAACAAGGACCCAAAAAGGGGGGGTCCAATTGAGGCCTGTCGTTTCCATCATCTTTTGAAGCTCCTACACACCGAATGGAGGCCGGAATGCAATAGCAGTCTGAATCATTTCCTCGATAATACTGACTCTCTTTTCCAGAAATATGGGAGTTTCCGAAAATAGGGGACCCTAATATAGTACCCTAAATAGTAGGATCCTTATTAGAAGGACCCCAAAACAAGCTACCCCTAATTTTTCGGAAACTCCCATATTGACATACTGGCTCCAGATCTGAACTCCAGCGGTTGCTCCATGTGAACAACCAGAATGACCACGAGGGCTCAGAGGGCTTAGGGTTTTGGGGTGCCGGTATAATCGACTACACTGGAGAATGAAATGGATAAGACCACCGAGAATCCATGTAAACTGATAGCAGATGATAGGACTATTTGCGTGTGATTTGGGAGTTTCTCAAAAGGAGGATTGCTCTAGGGCCCGCGAGGATGTACTCTAGGGGCCCTAGCGATGGACAGGGAGTATACCGGGGATGAGCATGGATGCAGGACAGACATCTTTGGTAATTGCGGTTTGCTGGGGTTCATGCCCCGAAGATTGGGAAGCTCGAGAAAGGTTCAAGTGTTTGTTAAGTTGGGAACACATGCAGCCGGGTCACCACCTCTGCCTTCCGCCCCTAGCTTCTCCATCACCTGCTTGTAGGCATCGCCTCCAGGCTAAGAGAATCCGAACTCCAGTAATGCCAGAACTCCCATGGACCGGACCAACGTTGTAAAGTTTATCATCTAACCGCCATACATACAGATATGCATGCATGCAAATAAATATCTGTATGTACATATGTGTAGATGGATACTTACAGAAGGGGGACTGCTTTTCATCTGGGGTTTATCATCGAATACAAAAGTAGTTATCATTCCTGAGGAGATCTTGGAGCAAAGAAAAGATAACATCGAAGCTACCTTTTCCCTTGATGTTGGTAAAGGACATGGAATCTGATACAGGGTTTTGAGGCCCATAATGCTATAATTATAATTATAACAAGGAGCCCTCAAAATAGCACAGGTAATATTTTAAGCCCCTTTGTTATAGTACCCTCATAGATCCCTTTAAGTAGCCCTTATAGACCCCTTAACAGGAACCCCCAAAATAGCAGAGGTAATTATTTAGGCCTTTATAGCCCTCAACCTCCAGGGACCGAAGCGCCAGTGGCCACAAAGGCGTGGCGCATTCGCTGGAAGCATTCGAAGCTGTTGTACCACGTGAAGACCAAGCCGCTGCCGGCAGCCTTCACAGGAGGCCCAAAGGGTCTTAGCCTATGGGAGTGTAGTAGGAGTTAGGGTTCCCATAATCGAGTTCATATTAGGGAATCCCTACCCCAAGAATCTTAAACCCCCCTTTTGGCCTCCCATCAAGCCTTAGCGATGGCTGTATTTTCCTGGATGAACTTCGGCGACCAGGTGAGGAGCCACGGAGCCTTGGTGGCCTTGACCAAATCCAGCATGAATGGGGGGTTGAATTGGACTTTTTTGGAGGCGACTCGGGCAGCAAAGCCGTTCTCTAGCACGGCAGCAAGCACTATGTCCATTTCCATCTTCAGCTCCTCTGTCGCATACTGCAGGGCCAGGCCATCGTTCTGCACAGCTGCCAGGACCACTTCTCGGTCGCTCTTGAAGCTATCGGAAGCATGCTTCAAAGCAAAGCCGTCCTGGCGTAAGGCCGCCAGGACCACACCTCTATCGCGTTTCAACTCATCGGAGGCAAACTCCAAGGCAGTTCCGCACTTCTGCACCGCCGCCAGCACCACTTCTTTGTCTCGCTTCAGCTCCTCGGCGGCATGCTCTAAGGCAATGCCGCGACTCTGCACAGCTCCGAGCACTAGCTTTTTGTCAAGCTTCAGCTCCCGGGCTACGTATTCTAAGGCGAAGCCGCTCTTTCGCAGAGCTGCGGCCACCACCTCTCTGTCGCCCCGCAGTTTCTGGCATGCATACTTCAAGGCGCGGTAGCTTTCCTGGACAGCTTGGAGCACAAACAGCTTGTCGGCCTTCAGCTCTTCCGCAGCATGTTCCAAGGCAAAGCCGTTGGTCCGCACAGCTGCCAAAACCACCTGTTTATCAAGTTTCAACTCCTGCGCCACGTGCCCCAAGGCGCCGCCGTTCTTTTGCACAGCTGTCAGCACAAACCCTTTGTCAACCTTCAGCTCAGGTGCAGCATGCAGCAAGGCTTGGCCATTCTGCTGCACAGCTGCCAAAACCACCTCTCTGTCACCCTGCAGCTTCTCAGCTGCATGCTCCAGTGAAAGGCCACTCTTCTGAACCGCTTCCAACACGAAGCCCTTGTCGATCTTGAGCCCCTGTGCCGCATGCAATAAGGCGGGACCACTGTTCTGCACCGCTGCCAGGACCACTTCTTTGTCGCTCTTCAACTCGTCGGAGGCATGCTCCAAGGCGCGACCGCTCTGTTTTACTGCTGCGAAAACCACTTCTTTGTCCAGCTTCAACTCCTTTGCAGCATGTTCTAACGCGCCGCCTTTCTTTTGCACAGCTGCCAGCAGTATGTCCTTGTCCTCCTTCAGCTCCTTTGTCGCAAACTTCAGGGCCAAGCCGTGGTTCTGCACAGCTGACAGGACCACTTCTTTGTCGCTCTTCAACTCATCGGCAGCATGCTCCAAGGCGAGGCCGTTCTGCCGCACCGCGGCCAAAACCACCTCTTTATCCTGCTTCAATTCTTTGGCCACATATTCCAGGGCGCTGCCCTTGATCTGCACAGCTGCTAGTGCTTTTTGCCGCTTCGATTCCTCAGTAGCATGACAGGCTGGGAACGGACAACCTCATTCACTCCTACCTTACCCCAATTAAAGAGTATCACACACCTGCAGACGCGCTGCAGCTGAGGGCACTTGGTAACTTCTAAGCCCGTGGTGACAGTACCTTTGAAAGCCCTTATGTACCAGCTTCAGACGGCTGCGGTCAGAGCCTGCAGTCGTGGAAGTTTGTTCTATAGTATAAGATATGGAATACAAACAATGCAATATACAATCCGGGTATGTCGTAGATGATATACAATAAAAGCGATGACTATAATACATACTACTTGTTTTGTCATGCAACATGCTACATATATCATATGTTTGTGTATTCATTCATATATATATATATAGAAAATGTATGGAAGGTGCGGCTCCAAATTCACACGCACATTGGCAACTAGTGCAGCTTCGCGGCCGTAGTCTGAAGCGTCGTATCTGGTGACAGGTTATTCATCGGATGAGATACCATCTGCCATCGCGCAACCTAGAATCCATCGCGACGGAATCCTTGTCGTCAAAAAAAATAGGGGAAATTCTGAAAGCGAGAGGAGTTGATACGAGCTCGGAAACCGACTGCAGAATAAGATAGGCGAGAAGACATTGAGAAGAGACAGAGAAACTCTTGACGAATAGCTAATTGTCTTGGTCTATGCACTCTGGGCACGATACAGTACTCACATCAGCTTCTTCACACGCATACAGCAGGAAAAGATACAACCACCCTGACGATCATGCCGCTTTCTGATTGCTGGACTTAACCTTGCTATTGTGGTTTCCAGCCGCAGACCAGTAAGTATAACTTGAACTGAATCGCGCTCTGATCATTAGTGAAGCTCCGTTGGAATTGAAGAGGCTGCAGGTGCATTACACATCAGAGCGGAAATTGCCGTGGCAACCGCCAAACAACTTCCCCTTGCAGAAGTCCCTATGCGCTAAAGGACGGTCTAGATCTTGACCATACCCATGCAAGCAGCCTATTTATACCACTGGGGCAAACTTCCCAGGGTTCTAGCAAATCATCGATATGTTCTGCTGCCGGTTCAGGATCAGAGCACTGCACAACGGACCAGAACTCTCTTCGTATGTTTTTTGGTCAAGGCTTGACGTCATAAATCACATGGTCTGGTTGAAAACTCCGTGTCTGTCCTTGCGCATCTCAACAATACCACCCGCAAGACAATCCTAGCCCGTTGCAAGCTAAGCCGGGTGAAAGGCTGCAGATTTCACCCAAGATCCGAAACAGATCCAAATCTCAAGCCAATCCGTCTCGTGCTGCTTGTGCATGCTTGTGGCTGTGGGATGCACCTGCCTCGGGGTCGACATTTCGGAGCCTGACGTGCTAGCTGCATGCGCAAGGCGGTAACTTTGCTCAACCATTGAGTTTAGAACTGTATTACGACTATTACGACTATTACTACTATTACTACTAATACTACTATTACTACTGTTACTACTATTCGACTCCACTCTCTACCAGATTGGACTACTGCAGCGCCAGGAGCCCTCGGCCCTAATTCACCCAATCCGAGGTCAACTTCTGATACCATCTGCTTGGGAGTCTCATGCAGGAATTGAGTCCCGGGCAGGATACTCTCATGGAAAGTAAAATAGGCCATGCTCTTCGGCACGTCGAAGGCCTCAGCTTCGTTAAAGATAGGCCTGCCTCGTAGACGTCGCTTGGCGTTGCAAGAACTCCTCTGAGAGACTGGCGTCCTCATCCTGATCCCACTCGAGAATGCCTGCGGGCCCAGCTGTTCTTGGACCCCAGAAAATCCCAACGACTCCGGCCCTGAAGACTCGCCTTCCGGTGCATAGTTTTGCCCGTTGTTGGAGATGTACAGCGGCCTTGGAGTCGGGGCGTCGGGGTAGCGAAGCGTAGCGCGCGAAGCCTAGCGCAGCCTTTGCCTTCCATGACCGCCTGTCTCAGAAAATTTCTCTTTAGTATCGGTAGTCGGTACTCGTCAACGTCTGTGGAGTCCGTAGCACCAAAGGCTACAGCAGAAATTAACAGCATTCAGTATTTGTGATCGCATAAACATGCGATTTTGCTTTGGCAAGAGTAGATGCAATGGCACAAGGAGCTATCGTCGCCGTTGATCTCTGATGGTTTGCCTGTCATCGCGTCACACTATTCTCTCGGACAATGTCTGAGGTGCCAACACGCGGGTCATGTCGGTGTGAACCGACAGCTTTGGCAGCTCCACAACAGCCTTTAGCGGTCGCTGAAAGGGCTTAGACTTGTAGGGCTCAGGGTGAAACTTCGCAACACTTTATGCGATTTACGCTCATGATTAGAATCGAGGGACAGCGCCATGGCTTGAAGCCTCACGAGCTTCTGGCAATCAAACCGCCTCATCTAATGATGCTGCTATGGACCGCCCAAAGCAGCACACCGTCGATCCTAAAATCAACAACCCCCACTCCTGCTTCTGCTGGGCGCCTCCGTATCGGTTGATGCCAAAGCCGTTTGAACCAGGTTCTGGCCATCTGCTTGGATTGACACCTCGGGGCATCAGGCCTTTACAGGTTTGCATGCTTCGTGTTTCACTCTAAACCCTAAACCCCTAAACCCAAACCCGAAACCCCAAACCACTGAGATGCTCTAGGCCTTCCGAGTTTAGTTTAGTGAGTTTAGGAGGTCACTTGGTGAATTGCAACGGGCGGGGTCCGGGCACCGCCGAAGCGCACCGTCAGGTAGTTGGTGCTGATGAACCCCTCGCCTCGAGCAAGTATAGTATAGTATAGTATAGTATATATATATATATATACAGATATATTACTATTATGGTATATTCTCGTGGATTATCGTATAGTTTTTGTAGTATATTACAATATATGACAGTATATTATGGTATATTATAGTATTGTGCATACTAGTATATTGCATAAGGATGTTTGTGCTTGAGAGGTCGGGTTTAGGGGTATCACGGAACACAGTCTTCGGGGTGCTGTTGTGTTGCTGTTTCTTGACTACATTACTGGGAACTCCGGTCCAGAAGTTCATGAAGCTCAGCTAGATATACAACCTCTTTCAATAATATCAACGCTGTGCTACAGCTGCTACCATTCATTCTTGTTTCCACATCAGCGCTGCTGCTATGGTTGTGGCCAAGAATACTACAACCAGTCAGCACTATCACAACAGCCTGCGTCTGGAATTAAGTTGCACTCAAGTCATAAAACCCTCTCTGCCAGTATACGGTCGCAGCGCTTCGTTCCTAGAGCCCCGAGCCCGACAGCCACCCTGAACGCCTGAAGGCTCCAGAGCGTGAGGTGAAACCCCGGTGAGTCTCCAAGTCACGAAACCCAAAACTGCTAGACCGGAATCAACAAAAACACCCTCAGCTCGCAAGCTCGACAAACCCCCGTGCCTATCAGCCGGATGCTCAAACTCCGGTGACTCGGGCCAAGTGGTGGGTCCACTTGCAGAATCCTCCCACAGACATGTGTGCTTTGTATATGCTATTATGTGCTTCGCTGCTGCCTTTGGTGTGGATGTGTAAGTGTGCGTGTGCGTGTGCTTGTGCGTGTGTGTGTGTGTGCGTGCTCGTGCGCGTGTGCGTGTTTGTGTGTGTGTGTGTTGCGCGTGTTTTTCTTGACGGTTCAAGGTTTTTTTTCCGGTGCTTAGGCTTAGGCTCGGGCGATTCGGATTCGATGTTGAACTTGCTTGTCTTCGGGCTCGCAGCGTAGCGGTTACGGCTGCTCTTGGATCCAGGGCATACAGGCTGACAGGGTGAACGCGTGAAAGGAGAACAGGAATCAACGAGAACAGCAATACAGACTTAGCTGTTTATCTACCAATTAGAAGCCAAAAGTCAAGCGGATCAGGTGTCCCGGCAAGGGCCGTTTAGGGCATGAGTCTTAACGGTGCAGCTGTGCGGCCGGAAGCTTAATTACGGCCTGAGCTGAAGGTGCCCTCCGCAGTCGGAACCAAGAAATGCGGCAGTCAGCAGAAGCCTAAATCATATTCACACTCCGAAGCCTTTATCCAAAACCAGAAGCACAATCGCCACTCCAAGCCGCTGATCCAACCCCTTTTCGTAGATCGAAACTCAGAACCTCGAGTTCCCGAATCCCTTGATGCCGTCGGTGTCCTCGGATTCGTGTAGTACAAGAACTTCTGGGAGCCCTTGAACAGGGACATCATCATCTAATTACTGCTGCTGCTACAATTACTGCGGTTGCTGCTGCGACTTCTGCTACCACCACTGCTACTACACTGCGAGTAGTACCACGAGTACCGCTGCGAGTACTACTACTCGTACCGCTTAGTACAAGTATATACTAGTGCTGCTAGTACTACCAGTACTAACTAATACTTAACAGTACTACTACTTACCAGTATGCCGACGACTACTGCGACTATACTACTACGCCTCCCGCTGCTGCTTCTAGTAGTACCATTGCAAAACTGCGAATGCTGCTGCTATTGCTACTGCTGCTACTGCTATGCACTACCGGCGCAGCTGCTGCTACTAGGAGGAGGGGTAGTAGGACAGCAATCAGAGGAACGTTAGCAACACTAGCATCAGCAGTAGTACAGCAAGAACCGTGACGACGATCTTCGCAACACTGGAAGTGTGTAGTGGAGTCTGCCGATGGTGAATTACATAGTACTGCAAGACAGACGACTTACAACTCGCACAGTCGAACGAAATGTGATGCTACGAATCGCGACAACGACAAGCCAACGCATCCGACATTGTCATTTGTGTGTTGGGGGGACAGTGCGACTACGAATGCCAGTCAGTCACCTGTCCATGGCAATTCATGTTTCAAGCTGCTCTTCGGCCTCCACGAAGTCTTGTTGGTTCAGTGAGACCTCGAACTTCACCTTCCACAGCTTGGCTCCAAGGTCTCAAAGCAGTGAAAGGAGATCTTCCGACGACCGCAGCCGCTGAGGAGATGTGAGACAACCGTGCCTCGCCAGGGGTAACCACCTGGCACTCAAAAGGTGAAGAGCATGGTGATGATGATGCTGACGATGGCCCCGGACATCACTTGCATCATCGCAACCCTCATCATCCTCATCATCAGCTTCATCATACTCACCATCACCATCACCGTCGTCGTCGTCTCACCACGAACAGCAGCAACGGCAGCCGCAGCCGGAGCAGGCGGAGCGCCCAACATCAGCATCGCAGCATGAGCATCGAGCTTCGGCAGAACCATTGTCGTCCTAATCAGCACGCTGATGGCATGCGGACCATGGCTGCCACTCTTTCTGGCTGTGAGTACCAATTGCAGTCCACGGGCAGGATAACGGCATTTACATGCCAAGATGTCATGTGTCCAATGTGCACTACACAGCGGACGACAAAGCACTCCTACTCATCTATACTTGTCACGAGGACTTCCTGCCAGTCAGTTGGCAAAACAATCCCAAAACATGCTGCTGTCATCAAGGGGAGCCATTGTCAAAGCTACCAGTAGACTCTAGAAGCGGCATGCCCAAATTGTCCCTGCTAAGCGCTGGACAGCAGGAGACACGCACTGCAAAAAAGTGTCGTTGACCTTTCGGCCGTTGGAGATAGGCTTTAGAGGTTTAGGGTTTTAGCTTGATCTTGGCTGATGTTGATAGATTTCACGGTACTGCCCCAGGCACGGGCCTCTTTTTGGATTCGGAGTGGGTGGCTGCAGGGAAGAGGTGGCATTGTCGACTTTTACCTGAATGCCACCAAGCAAAGCAGGTCGTACCTGACAAATCCACGGCCACTGAGTGACTGAGTGCAACTGGAGGACTCTATGGAAATATCAGAGTTTCGAATCCGGAGCAAGGTTTCGTCAACATAACCGGCATACTACTCAGACCTGGTAGTATGCCTGGTCCCAGACCCTAAAGACAGATGGTTTGATTCGGTGAAAACCCGTCATCTCCGGGTCCCCAATCCACCGGTTTTTCCATGGAAAAAAACATGTTTGGCAGATGCTCTGCTAGGCCTCGCATCATGGGAGCCTTCCCTCAAAACTGCACGTGTGCCAAGCAGAGTGAGTGGGCAGCGGGTGCTGCGGAACGGAAATCCAAGCCGAATGGAAAGCAAGAAACTCAGTGACCTCCGACTGCTCCAGAAACACCTTGCACAGTAGCAGTAGCAGAAGTTTCAGGAGTAGTGCCAGCATAGTACTAGTGCTAGGGTTGACGATGCAAATCTTGCTTTACCCAAAATGAGTCTACCGTAATTCCCATAGTCTAGGGTCGTTAAGGTAATGCAGGATTAATGTAGCCGTAGTGCTAGGGCCTGCTACAGTAGGGCTAGTGCTATCAAACGCACTGTGGAATCTCAGTGCCCAGCCCGAATGCCAGGTACTGACAAAGTGCCAAATCTGCAGCGGATCCTGCGAAGCCAGTCGGCGTTCAGGGTGAAAGGGGTGGAAACGCAAGCCCTTTCGGGTTTGGGTATACAGCAACGTCTGAAAAACAAGCAGGGCTTTCGTGGGAAATGGGGTGAGACTACGGTAGGATTGAGGGTGTCTTCCTAAGCCCAGTGGCCAATCAGCTTGGGTTGTCGTGCTGCTTCTGCACCTTGAAGCTCCTTCCACACGGAAGCCTCGCCCCCAAATACTAAACCCTCAGCGCTAAATACCGCCCTCAACCCTACGCTGTACTCTCTAAATTAATCTTGAACCCTAAACGCCCAACCACCCTAAACTCTCCTCCCTAAACCCTAAACCCGAAACGCCCCACCACACTAAGCTCCCCTCCCTGAACTCTTAACCCCTAGTTCCCAAGCTGGGAATCCGACGTAGAGGCGGCGCCAACTGGAACGGAGGCAGACTCAACGAGCACCTGAATGTGCAAAGAAGCTAGGTCCTGAGCTTTAAGGTTTAGAGTTTCAGCGTGTAGAGTTTAGGGTGTTTTGGAGTTTAGAACTATGGCTTCAGGGTTTAGGGCTTCGAGTTTCAAGCTGCAGGACTTCAAATAACGTTTCGGGGGGTTTGGGACTTTAGAGCATGGGGTTTGGGGTGTTGTAAGTCGCGGGTCGTAGGACTTGTCGCTTCAAGGATTTATGGACAAATATATGATTTGGGTTTCAGGGTACAGGGTCTCAGGTTTCGGGCTGCAGAGCAGGTGTAGGGGTTGGGGATCGTCGTAAGGCTGGCGCGGTCGTGTTTCCGCTGATCGGTCCCAGGTACGGGTAGAGGTGGAAGTACGTGAAGCCTGTGACAAAAGAAGCGCCGATTTGAGCGAAGATGACGCTGCAGCCATGCTCTTCACTGCCCATTACCTCCAATAGTCCTGACCATTACCCCTAGGCAGCAAGTACGTGGTAAACCCTAAACCCTACCTATAGTCTCCATTGTAGTTCCTTTTTTTTGTAAACTAAATTCTAGATCATAGGATCCTAACCATAAAAATGGTTAACCAAAAAAGGAACCACAACGGAGACTATAGGTAAACCCTACTTAGCAGCCCTAGCAGCAGACTCAGAAGCTCAAGACTGTCCAGTACTTCTTTCAGGCGGAAGTTCTGCAGCCAAGGTGCCCAGGAACTCGAAGATCGCATCGCTTCCCCCCTGTCGCGAATGTAAGGGTTAAGGGTTCAGGCTTTAGGGCCTTTGTACTCTGGGATCTTAGGCTTAGGGCTTACGGTATAGACTTGGGGTTTAGCGCTTTAAGGGTTGAGGCTTTAAGGATCTAGGGCAGCCACCTCATCAGCGGAAACCCCGACGCCAGAGCCGCACGGCTTCGCGGAAAGTTAAGGCACGGGCTGTGAAATTCTGTCCGTTGTTGGACAAATACACCTCCGAGGAGCCGGAGCTTCTTGGAGTTCCCGGTTTGGGCTTCAAAAGCAAAGGGTTTTGGGGCTCTGAAGGGCATCAGTACTAACAGTATTCTTCGGGTTTCTTCTTATATTGATGGTACTCGAAATCTCTTCCCCCGAATATAAAACCAGCCCATGGTTAAAACCAGACTTTCCTTGACATGAGTTTTATTATTTGGGGGAGCCTCGTCAGTTTGCTCCTGGACGCGAAGGGAACGGCTCTTGGCCAATTAAATCCCTCA